GGGGGGGGGATCAATCCGTATCATCAGGCTTATGTAGCAAGTGCTTTACCCACTGGGCTGTCTCACTGGTCCACATTCCTATATTCCCTAAGCATGTAAATCAGTTGAAAATGGTGTACAAGCAAAATTCTATTGCTAATTCTCACCTTGAGTCTCCTGTGTAGCATCTTGTTCCCATCACTGTAATCTGTCACACTATTGGGCCTTCTTTCCCTATGACTCAACATGGAGAAATCTTTCTGAATATATTCAAAGGCTCCTGAATGGCATATGACCGTAGAAACCATTCCCAATCTTGAATTCAATGAGAAACAGTTTTAGGACAGTTTTCTTGTGTGCTGTAACTGGGCATGCAAGAGTGTTCATTATCTTACATTTAAGTCTAAACAACCATGTTACTTGATTCTTGATCTCAGGGTTGATGGTAAGCTTTTAGCTGGGCAGTGGTGGCGCACGCCTTTAATCCCAGCACTCGGGAGGCAGAGGCAGGCGGATCTCTGTGAGTGCAAGGCCAGCTTGGGCTACAAGAGTGAGTTCTAGGAAAGGCGCAAGCTACACAGAGAACCCTGTCTGAAAAAAAAAAAAAGAGGTAATTTGTGAGGCTGCAAGCCCAAAAGTGTTCTGAAGTTCTAACATTAACCTCCAGTACATACCAGGTCCAGTGGGCTACAAAGAAAGATGATAATATGGTAAGCTTTTAATGTCTGGTTTTTAGTTATTGGGCCAATGAGTTTGTTTGCTTTCTTCTGCAGGTGTTCACGTAAACACAACTTCCCCACATCAAGTCCCACCTTGCTTATTAAGAGCATGTTTACAACATTTGGAATGGAGCAGTGCAGGAGGGATGACTATGACCCTGATTCAAGCCTGGAATACAGTGAAGAAGAGACCTACCAGCAGTTCCTAGACTTCTATCACGATGTCCTACCAGAGTTCAAGAACGTGGGAAAAGTGATTCAGTTTAAGGTGTGCACAGGCTGGGAAGGGACCAGACACACGTTCTCCTGAAATCCAGGATACAGGGCAGAGCTAGGGCTCCGGCTGTTCCTTAGGTGGAGTCGTGTGCCAGTATTTGCCTGACCTATGGCTGAGCATGCCAGCATTTGTTAAAGTCACTCGATTGTCTTCCCTTCCACCCCCACTCTGGCCAGTGCCATGTGGATGCCAGAGGATATCATAAACATGTGTTAGCATGGATTTGGAATGCTACAGCCTGGGTTGGAAAGGGACCTTATTTAGTGCCTTTGTGATGCAGCACTTTCCAGCAGTTGACTTCATCGTCAGGCCTGCTATACCTAGCCATCCAACCTTCAGTTAGCTGCTGTTTGTGATGGACATGGCTCCCTTCCTTCCCTCTTTTAGTGCCCAGAATGATGTTATAGAAACTCATTCAGTTTCACTCACTGCGTAAGGTGAGATATGGTTGCTGCTGTTCCTGGGGCTCATTGGGTGAATCCCAATATGTAGGCCTCTTGCTTGCCTGTGATTTGATCATATCTGAACCTGAATGACTTTGTATTATGAGGACAAGGGAAATGTTTCTTATTTTGGAGAAAAGTAGGAATAAAGCTGTAGGTTTTTTTTCTTTCTTTTTCTTGCTGTCAGAAATGAAAGTATAGAATTGGAATAATCATGTGCCATAGATAAAAGAAATCTGAAATTACAATTTGCTTTCCAGATTTAAAATATATTCTTTAAAATTTGTTTTCCAAGGAAAGGGAAATAGAACATAGTATTATAAAGAGATAAAAGGGAAAGTGGAATAGGGGGAGTAAATGGGGAGGGGGGTAGGCTTTTTAAAAAAAATAAAATTTAAATTAAAAAATAGAAATAAAAATTTGTTTTTCTCTTGGGCTGGCAAAATGGCTCAGTGAATAAAGGCACTTGCCACCAAACCTGACACCCTGAATTCAATCTCCAAGCCCCACATGGTGGAAGGAGGAGAGAAGTGACGCTTGCAGACTCTCCTCTGACCTGCACATTCACGCTGTGACATGAGCATGGCGTGCACATACACATGAAAGTGTAAACAAATGACAATTTCTCTCCAAACGTTTATTCCTGTGGCATATGCCTTCCTAGCTTCTCACTGCTAAGAGCAAATGATGACCACTAACTGTGGTCATGTCTGCATTGTTCCACATGGAAGCAAACTCCAGCTAAGGAGGCAGAGTGTTTGCTCTCCAGATGTTGCTTTATCTCTGTGTGCGGTATCTGAACGGTGAGATTGGCTTACATCAGTGGTTTCCCTCAAGGGCCCCTGGATCCTGCTTCTGTGAAGTGGTAATGGTGAAATTGTGTTCAGAACTTGAGATTGGTAGCTGAGCCACAGACTGCTTACCTTGTTCAAGGCTCTGGGTTCTGTCCCTAGCACAGTGGGGTAGGGATGCTGGCTTTCAGGGAGGTTAGTGGAAGCTGCATTATTACATGTAGCAGGCTGCATCTACTCACCACAACTTTTTTTTCCTAGAAAGCAAATAGGATGATAGGGCTCATGCTAATCATATCGATGAATGAAAAGAAAGCTGTTTAGTAAATTTGTGGTGCAGAAATGATCAGAACATTGAATTTATTATGGAAAATCAGTAGGTCTTTGGCAGCCACTTTTCATTTTTTTGTAGCTCAGACTGGCCTAGAACTTACAGTAGTCCTCCTGCCTCCACCTCCCTATTACTGGGATTTTAGGCATGTGCTACCAAGCCTGACTAAATAAAATAAATTTTAAGGTCCCTGGGCATGGTTGATGTGGACTCCTAAGGCCCTTCATTCTTCATTCTAAAGATGGTATTACAAATTGAGTAGGGTCTTGTCTCCCTTCAGATGTTCTAATAACAACACCCTAAAGCAAAACTTCATTTTTAAGTTTTAACTTCATTCTGAAGTTAAAAGCTAAACACTAGTAGGAATATTTTCTTTTCTTTCTTTTTTTTTTTTCAAAACAGGTTTTTTTTGTGTAGCCTTGGCTGCCCTGGAACTCTCTCTGTAGACCAGGCTGGCCTCAAACTCACAGAGATCCACCTGCCTCTGCCTCCCGAGTGCCAGGATTAAAGGTGTGTGCCACCACCACCTGGCATCATAGGAATATTTAAGGACCTTTTTATATGCCATTTTATATAAATCAAATTTATTGTTTTTGAAGGCAATGATCAATTGTTTAACCTTACTTATAGTAGGAACAAGACATGAAAATGAGATATTCATACCTATATGGTATAAATTCTATTAATTTCAAGGTCAGGCAGAAGATATATATTAGTACAACTTCTGAGAGCGGCTTGTGCGCTGCCTAGTGAAGTGGAGACCTATAAATTAGCACGCTCCTGTTTACGAAGACCATAGCGGTTCTTAATACCTACAGAGACAGATTTGTGAATGGGTAGTCAGGAGCAGATCCATAAATGTGATGATTTGATATGTCTAGAATACACGAGTTGAATCATTAAGCTTGTGTTAACATCTTGAAAAAGATAAAGAATACCATCTATAAAGAAATTTTAGAGCCAGGCATGGTGGAGCTCTCCTTTAATCTTAGCACTTGAGAGGCAGAGGCAGGTGCATCTCTGTGAGTTTGAGACCAGCCTAGTCTACATAGTGAGTTTCCGGATAGCCAGGATTATATAGAGAGACCCTGTCTCAAAAAAAAAAAGTTTAAAAATTTTAAAGGTACAAAGCAATACCAGCACGTGTGTCCAGATTTTTGACATTGTGACATGTCATCCATTGAGTTCATGCCTGAGAACTGCAATCAAGTTACAAAACCAAACCAAAATGTTTTAATTAACTTTGTGATTTTTTTTGTGTTGGGCCACATTCATAACTGTGAACATGTGGTTCACAGGAGGCTATGTTAGATACACCTGAATTAGTATACATATACATAATTATTTTTTTTTAAAGATTTATTATGTATACAAAGTTCTGCCTGCGTGTACACCTGCAGGCCAGAAGAGGGCACCAGATGTCATTACAGATGGTTGTGAGCCACCACGTGGTTGCTGGGAATTGAACTCAGGACCTCAGAAAGAACAGCCAGTGTTCTTATCCTCTGAGCCATCTCTCCAGCCCATACATAATTATTATATATACTATTTGGTTAGTATATTTATGTAAGTGACATATTTATTGTCAGCACATACATAATGTATGCATGCCTGTGTGTGTTCATGTGTCTGTACAAGTCTACACATAATATACATATATAGTCCAAGCAGAAACACCCTTATAACAAGTGCTCTTAACTGTCATGTCTCCAACCCTTGTATTCTGTTTTTATGTCTCTATGAAGCATTTCAGGGTTTCAAACTGGCAGACCAGGATCAACAGAGATCAGGCAGTTGAGGTTTGCAGTATTGTTAGGTGCTTAGATACGGCTTGACTTGATAAGAAAGCATGTTGGCCTATCGTGAACTCGTTGAGGGACTATTTAGCCTGAACAAAATGCATTTGAGGGTTGGCTTCTTTTGAAAAGTTTTTCTTTTGGTGACAGCATTCTTTTTTGTTCCTTAGGTCAGCTGCAACTTGGAACCTCATCTGAGGGGCAATGTGTATGTTCAGTACCAATCGTAAGTATTACGAACATACATGCATCTTCATGTTTCATCATAGTTGCGGTATATTGTGTTTCTTTGATATCACTGAATATGTATCTTTCCTATGCATGATACTTTTCAAAATGTCAATATGAAGAGCTCATGGGGAAATAGGCAAGATTTAAAAATACACTTTTTCATTCTTTGTATATTTGTATAATTTTCACAACTAAAATACAAACTGAAAAAGGGCTAATTAGAATAGAGTAGACAATACCTATCTAAGGTACAAGGAGTTAAAGCTCCAAATAGTGTGCATTTGACCAGCTAGTAATGGAGGGTCTGTATCATTCCTGCATGCATTACCATTTCTCTGAGCGGTGCCACGGCTAATGGCTTCAATTAGCCATTGTAATAAGAAGAATAGCAGTCCTAGCTGAGAAAGCATGGGGTCTAACAGGGGGAAACACTTCTGCAGATTTAATGGTCTAATCTTGCACATTAAGAAGCTTTGACTCCAGCCAATTTCCATATGACGAAACATTTCAGAGTTAATGACAAAGGTCCCTGAATAAACTAGGCTGTGGGAACCTGAATGCTCTGAAGACTTCCTAGGCGATACAAGAACTGAACTTGGTAGTCCTACAGTAATTGGACAAGAGGGTTAATTCAGAATAGGTTTGCTCTACCTATGAGAGTTAAAAGCACAACCTTTGATTTTTGCTTCCAAGGGAAGAAGATTGTCAAGCAGCTTTTTCTCTTTTTAATGGACGATGGTATGCAGGACGACAGCTTCAGTGCGAATTCTGCCCAGTGACCCGGTGGAAAATGGCAATTTGTGGTAAAAGCCAATGTAGTGGCACCCCTCCCCCACTGCTGTACTACACAAAGGAATCTTCCTAGGAAGAAACCCGTATTTGGAAGGGATGAAGTACAGTTTGTTTCATACACCAGATGAGCAGGGTGGTTATATAAAGGACACCACAGTTTAGATCTGTACAGGCCTGTGGGTCACTAGATGGATGGAAGGACTGAGCTCACAATATGTTGGTGACAGAATTGCTGCTTGAACTTCAGTCTTCAGGTCCTCAGTCCTGGGTTCTGTGTGTGACAATGCAGTGTCTAAACTAAAGATACGCACATGATCCGTGTCGCAGATTCAAGGCGTTTTCTGTTCATTGCTTCTCCTTACTTGAGCTGTTTGTTTCCGCCTCGATCCCTAAGGAATCTTCCATCCTCAGCACCACAAATAGTACCCGGGGCTAACATTCCCCACATTACTTGAAGTCATGCTCTGTGCATTTGAGACCATTAGTAGGTGTGGATCAGTTAAGTTGTACATTGGGTGCTCTCAGTTACACTGACTCATCTGAGATCGGCAGCCAAACCAGGAAATGATTCAGCACTGCAGAGAGTAACCAGCCGCGCTGAAGGTCTAATCATTTTCTGATTGCTAAAAGTCTGCTTAGCCAGAGCGGTATGGAAGTTCCCCAGGTGAAGAGACGAAGCTCTAATACCTCAGGGGTGTACTTCTGCCTTCTCCTTGTGTTTCGCTGCACGTCCTGCTCAGGTTTTTTGTTTTTTAATCAAGCAAGTCTAAGTCTTGAGCAGCCTTCTCTTAATGGATGCTGTCATTTAAAAAAAAAATTTATGATGGGCATGGATGGTGTTACCTTCAGTTCCAAAACTGGGGGTAGGCCAAGACAGGAGGATTGTGAGTTAAAGGCCAGCTTGGGCTATATAGTGAGACCTTTTCTTGAAACAAATAAAGTAATTAATTGATTAATTAATCTAACAGTTATCAAAAATGAGGGGTTAGAGAGATGGCTCAGTGGTTAAGAGCACTTGTTCTTATAGAGGACCCAGGTTGAGTTCCCAGCACCTACATGTTGGTTCATCATTGGCTATAACTCCTGTTCTAGGGATTCTGACACCCTCTTCTGACCTCGATGGGCACCAGGCATGTACATGGTACACATATGTAAATGCAGGCAAAACACTCATATACATAAAATAAACCTTAGAAAGTTTTAAAAATAAATAAAAAGGCTGGGACAGTGGTGGTGCATACCTTTAATCCTAGCACTCAGGAGGCAGAGGCAGGTGGATTTCAGTTGGAGGCCAGCCTGGTCTACAGAGTGAGTTCCAGGACAGCCAGGGCTGTTAACACAGAGAAATGCCTTGAAAAAACATGTGTGTGTGTGTGTGTGTGTGTGTGTGTGTGTGTGTGTGTGTGTGTGTGTATGCATGCATGGAATTTTAGAATTCCTTGCTTTGAAAAACAAGAACCACCATTATACTCTTAAGTTTAAGGGTTAGGCAGATGAACAGGATGGCAGTATATTCTCTTTATAGGCATTTAGTTTTGCTAGTTCCTCAAGACGCAGTATGATTCCAGTGATATGCTTGAGTATAACTTTGAAACCTCCAAACCAGGAGTCTTATTTCATTAGTAACAACATCAATCACAAAAATATAAACAGCTTTAGTATCTTTCTCAGTGACTAATAACTTTTGTTTCCTTATCATTGACTTCTGGTATATCTTCTTTGGAGAGATCTCTGTTTAGATAGCTGCCCATTTTAAATCATGTTACATCTTTTTGTTATTCAGCTATAGAAATTCTTGATTGATTCTATATACCAGTACCTGATCACAGAGGTCATCTGCAAATGCTAGCTCATCGTTTTGCTTTATTTACCTTCAGCCACAAAAGTTGTCTGTCTTTTTTATTTTCTCTTTCTCTGTGTCTGTGTGGTTAGACAGGCCCTCATGCATCCCAGGCCATGAACATAAGGGTGCCGTCCTACCCGGGTATTACGGTCTTATTATGTAAAGACTATTGCAGGATCCCCCACCCATGTTGGACCTTCTCCTGAGAAGCATATGCTTTCAGAAAAATGCTAATAAAAGGATTCCAAAGTTCAGTTCTTGAATCAGTAGATGATGTAGTCACCGTTTGTTCATTTGCACTCTGCTGACATCACAAGGCACAGGTAATTAAAACTAGTTTGTGTCTGGGTGCTGGTGGCACACACCTTTACTCCCAGCACTTGGGAGGCAGAGCCAGGCAGATCTCTGTGAGTTCGAGGCCAGCCTGGTCTACAGATGGAGATCCAGGACAGGCACCAAAACTACACAGAGAAACCCTGTCTTGAAAAAAACCAAAAAATAAAAAAAAAAAAAAAACTGGTTTGTGACCTTTTGAGGGCACCTTTTATCATTTGAGTGTTCTTGCAACCGTAGGCAACAAATCAGGACGTCAGTTTATCTACATCAGACACTGTAAGAAACAGTGCAGACATACTCAGACTTCAGAAATTACTCTTCTGATTTCAGAAAAAGAATGAAATTACAATAATGCCAGTGATAACCACTGCCTCTTCACTTGCCCTCACAGGCTTATTTGAAGTACAGCAGTGTCCAAGAGGAAAACACTGCAACTTTCTTCACGTGTTCAGAAATCCCAACAATGAATTTAGGGAAGCTAATAGAGACATCTACCTGTCTCCAGATTGGCCTAGCTCCTCCTTCGGTAAGAATTTAGAGAGGAGGGAAAGGGCCAGCCACTACGATGAATACTATGGCAGGTCAAGAAGACGAAGGAGCCCGAGTCCAGACCTCTCCTACAAGAGGAACGGTGAGTCTGACAGGAAGAGCAGTGGTAATCACAGGGGGAAGAAGTCTCACAAACACGTGACAAAAAGTCGGGAGAGGCGCAGTTCCCTGAACAGAGGACGAAGAAGGGATCACAGTCCAGGACCCTGGAGCCAGAGCCGCAGGAGCCGCAGGAGCCGGAGTCGGAGCCGAAGCCGAAGCCGGAGCCGAAGCCGAAGCCAGAGCCGAAGTCGGAGCCGGAGCTCATCAAGGTCCAGGAGTCAGAGCAGGAGGAAGTCAGGTAGTAGAGACAAAAACACTCAGAGTCCCAAATCTAAATAAACTTGGTTGTTTTTAAATATCAGTCTGTCTTTTTATGGCAGCTACTCACCTGTATAGTTTGACAAGGCTAGTCAAACACTATCATGTAAACCATCCTTTTTGATAAATTATATATATAATAACATGAAATTACTTGTAATGCTAACTTTGAGAGCATCCATTAATACTGGAGTAATGCTTTAGCATTTTTTTGTTTTCTGTATTTCTCTCTCTGAAGTACAGAGGTCAGAGGTCAATTTTCAGGGGTCAGTTACATAGTGAGATCCAGGGATTGAACTGCAATCATGAGGCTTTCATACCAAGTATCTTTACCCTCTGAGCCATCTTTATTCCTTTTTTTTTTTTCTTTTTTTTTTTTGGTTTTTCCGAGACAGGTTTTCTCTGTGTAGCTTTGTGCCTTTCCTGGAACTCGCTTTGTAGTCCAGGCTGGCCTGGAACTCAGAGAGATCCACCTGCCTCTGCCTCCCGAGTGCTGGGATTAAAGGCGTGCGCCACCACCACCCGGCCCACCTTTATTCTTGTTAAGTGTCCATACCCTTTATTTTTGCTTTATGCATATGGGTATTTTGCCTGCATGTATTTGTGTGCACCACTTGTATGCCTAGTGCCCATGGAGACCAGAAGACAGCTTCAGGTCCCCTGGACTGGAGTTATAGATGGTTGTGAACTGCCATTTGGGTGCTGAGAACGAAACCCAGATCCTCTAGAGGAGTAGCCAATACTCTTAACCACTGGACCATCTCTCCAGCCCGACACACTTTATTTTTTAACTCAAAAGTCACATATGGCTTTAATGTGTTTCACTCAGTTGTCTCATTTCATTAATCCTGATTCTTTAGTCCCAAAATTTGTATTTTTACTCATTTCATAGAGAATTCATCTACATTTATTTGACAACATCCCTATTGTTAGATTTTTAGGGATGAACCTCTTAGATTTTCTTAGCGATTTCCATACATTTTGATCAATTTCTTAGAAGAATCCCTATCAAGAAAGCAATACAAATTGCCTTCCTGTAAGATGACAAAGTCACCTTACAGCTCCCACAGCACAAAGTTAGCTTGATCTTTACCAGTTTGGCAAGTCTAGGTATTTAAGTTATTGTTTTTATTATTGCTGTTTTTTGTACTTAATGGCCATTCTTTTTTGTTCTTTTAAAATATTGTATTTTTTCTATATGTAAAAGTTGAATTTTTTTGCTGTTTCAAAGTGTTGCAGTTCCCATTTCTGTACTCCTCTTTCCTCATATCCACAGCCCCTCGGGCCTGGGGGCTGTCGCGGTGAATGTCTTAACTTGAATAGTGTGTTGTGACAGTTCTTATATAGAAGCATTTTGTCATTTCCCAGAAAATTTGTCACTATTGACTCAATGCACTGTTAAAACAGCCCTGGTACAACAATCACTGAAGAGTGATCAGTGAAGAGAACTGAATGTAGGATCATGTATATTATCCCTAGCTTTCCCAAGATGCTTTCCCCTCACAGACTTTCACTGTCTTGCTCTGGACCTCGACATTCAGTGTCACGTGATAGTTAGCAATCTGATGTTTGAGAGTTCATTAAAGATGCATACAAGTCGAGTGTGGTGGCTTATGCCAGTAATCCCTGCGCTTGGGAGGCTGATGCCAGCCAGGGCTAGAGTGCCTCATTTTAGAAAAAAACAAAAACAAAAACAAACAAACAAAAAAAAAACAGGCACAGAATGTTGAAAAAGTTTAACAAAATGCAACTTGTTTCAATTCTAAATGCCTGCTTGATACTAAAAATGATGGATTTCTAGATTCACTGGGTTCATTAATGCTGAATAAAGTAAATTTGGTGCTTTTAAAATACTGTTCAAACTTTAGCCAAGATTATGTAAAGATTGTTTTGTATGTGTGATGGTGGAACTTGAAACATAGTAGGCAGGGGTGCTACCCCTGAGGTCCATCCTCAGTCCTAAAGTTGAATATTTAGATCATGATGGGAAAGGAAAGAAAATCCATCTTCGTGGGCTCAAGAACAAGTGATGACTTTCCCCTCAAATGTTAATGGCCAGTATAGAGTGCAGGGGGAGTTTAGAAAACCTCTGCCTGGGTCATTACCCTGATAGTGACTTTGAGCTTACATTTACTATAATGAATGGATGCCTGTGTGTGTCTGTGATAAACTACTTACGATTCAACTCCACATTACTGACAGAAGCTCACAGGCTTTTTAGTGAACAGCTGCATTTGCAAAAGCCCTTTAAACCTACAAATGTCTGTTTCAACTTAATTTGCTCAAAATCCTTTCCTTGTTCTTAAATATCTCAGGCTTAGAATGCAATAATTTGTTTGCAGTAGCAGAAGGCCCCATAACTATACTGGTACTGTAACTGGGTGTTTGACTTGTTGCTTACATTAGGCAGCAGTCAGCAGATATTAGTCTGTTGCATGTGCTAGCACTTCCTCATAGGTAGGAGGTGAGGATTCACCATTTGGATATCATTGATTATCTGGAGTAATCCAAAGAGTTGCTAAATCAGAGAGCATATCAAAGGCAGCTGCATCAAGGGTTTCAAAGTGGCATTTATTAATTGAAAATAAATGTGTTGTAAGTTCTTGATAGCATAGAATTCATGCGATTTTTTTTTTAAATGAGCTTGATGTACATGAGAATTCCTCGACGCTTGTCATTTTTGTGTGTTTGCAACCACCGTGACATTCCAGTGCAGGGGGTGGGGTGTCAGATGGAGAGGGATTGTCAACACTGTATTGAAAAAGAAAGAACCCTTCAACAGCTTTCCCTAGTTTGACAACTTTTGGAAAGAGAGAAAAGTACACCACAGTGTTTGTAGAACATTTATTACCATTAATTGGTGATGTGATAAGACAGTGTTCAGGTGGCTTGAAAGTTGTTCACAATCACAGCAAAGCTTACTCCAGCCTAGCATATACAAGGGAAAGTAGAAATCAGGGAGATGTGTTCAGGTACGTGTCAGTATGTATAAAAGTGATGCTGAGCATTTATATAGCTTGAAAAAATATAGAGCCAACTAATGCCATTGTACTTCACTAAATTCTTACTTTGCTGTACGAAAGGTATCTCTGAAATTTCCGTAAGACTTCCGATGACTAGGCAATAACGTGGAGGGGAAGGAAGCTGCTGTCAAGTTTGTAGCACTTCTAATTGGAAAGAAGCAACAGGGAAGCAAAAATAAATTTGGCTTTAACAAGCACCCCAGAAGGAACATTCATGCTCTAGATAATGACTTTATGTAACACTTTGTGAACAGAGCAACATACTGTTATGAAGAATACCTAGTAATTAACGGTTCTACTTTAATTTGGGGCATTGAAAACAAGTAACTACATGATTATGACCACTAAAACTTTACCTCAGGAGTCAAATGTTCCTTGGCCTTAAAAATTATGTGCTCAAGATTAGGAAAGTCTGTCTTCCTTGTCCCGCTCATTCAGAATACATAATGAATTTTAGTGTAAAACAGCATCATTCTAAGTTAGTCCTCCAAAAGTATCTATTCCCTTTGTTGTAATGTGTGATGTATCCAGTAAGGGTCTTTGGTATAAATTTGGTTGCCTAAATTTTCAATAAACTTTCATTTGATCTGTGATGTGTCAATTTCCTTTATTCTTATATATACTGAAATACTACTCTAGTCTTTGGTTTCATCAAACCAGGTTTCACATAATTTAACTTTCCTTTTTCAAGTCCAGTAGTAAAAGTATTTTGCCAGATTGTTGGATATATATGAATATAGACGTATCATTTTTATATATGCACATAATTATGAGGCTGACCTTTAAACTTTAAAATGTCCAGAAATAGTATGTTACTTTTTCTACATCTTTCTAATTCATATTTATGTCTCTTAATTTATCATTTGATTAACCAAAGTTCCCTTAAAAAAAAAATGGGTAGGCCTGAATGAAGCAGCTTAGCAAAACAGTAATACTGACAAGACATCATCTTAAACCATTAGCTAACATGGACATGAGAGGCAGTGACCGTCTACAGTGTGTGAAATGCCACAAGAAGTCATCAGCAAGGGAGGACAGTTATGTCAGTCCAATTTCTTCAAGAACACTACGTGGGGTTTCAGCTTCCTGTGGAGGAAAAATGTGAGACTCTGGTAAGCAGATACAGCTCCGGAGAGGGTCTTAAGCCTATGAAAAGCTCACAGGAAGGGCATGCTCATTAGAGAAGAAAGGCGGCAGTGCAGACAGCCAGTGACAGCCAGCCAGTGGGTTTCAAAGATCGGTGCCTAAAACCCAGAAGAATGTTTCCAGCAGTTACTAAATACCTCATTAGTGACCAGTGTGCTGGGCACCATCAATTGCTATAACACAAAAAGCAAGCCCATTGTAAACTGACTAGCAATGTATGAAACTATACACAAAATATTATCTAAAACAGTCAAGTTCAAAATGTCTTCCAAATAAAAAGCCTGGTCCCCACAAGTTCTAGCGAGGCATCTAACACTTTCAATGTTTTGTCTTGTCACAGCTTAACTAGAAAAATGTTTGGTGTGGTTTTCCCTTAACTGTCCACTGCAATGCTTTAGAAACAGCCACCTTCCCAGACCTCCCTTGGGTATCCATTGGCACTGGTGGAGGTGACATACAGAAGAAACAAACTATGGAACAAAAAGCGTTTTCATCTTAATTAAGAAAAAGGAATATTTGTTTTCAGTGTCAAAGCCAAATCAGCCAAATCTAAAAGAGGTATTTTAAAGTTTTCCAAACTGCCCAATTTTGTACACTATAGAAGTTTAAAAAAAAAAAAAAAAAGGACCATATAGGTCAGCAATTAGCTATTACTAGCAATTTTGGAATTAAAAAGCAACATTGTTATTTTAATAGATGAAAACATTGTGAGAATTTGTTATCCAATAATAAACTTACTTTTGCATCCTAATCACGAGACAGCACAAAACAAGGAAAAGAAAAATTATTATATTACATCAGGAATCCTTAGATTGTTAGGTTGAATGGTAGGAAATGCACTACATAGTGTAATCTTAAATGACTTAAAATCTGTTGTTTCCATATTTGGAAAACAAAAATAGTACTTACCTTCATATGTTGAGATGAGTTTAAGGCTCAATGCCTGATTTAAAGAAAGTGCTTAAAAATATTAGCTGATATTGAAATCTAAATGAAGGGATTTAGCATTTAGTACTAAATACTTTTTTTTAGCCAAAAAAGTTCATAAAATGCCTGTTAGTATGCTTGTCTAGTAATGAAAAATGGGTGGAAATCAGCTTTAGTGAAAAAGGACGTTTTTCCAAAAGGTAATATAATCTATGAAGTACACTTTCCTCCCCCCATCTGAACTGCAATCTTACCAGGTTACAGATCTAAGATGGAGAAAAGAAAAAGTAAACATTGTCACAAGAATATTATCCCCTAAATAGGAATGTGGGAAACTGTATGGCAGGATCAAAAAGTCCAGTTTTGTTTTTTAATGGCAGAGTGAAAAAAAAAAAAAGGCTTGCTAAAAATTGAGAGACTAAAGGCCTATGAACCATCCAATATAAAATTTCTTTGGAATCTAATTTCACAAATTGTAAGAAGGTATTTATTCCCCTCTGATAATTAGGAAAAGCTGAGCCAGACACAAGACAAAATTAGTTACTGTCCATTTTGTTTGGTGTGGCACTGATCTGTTAGGAATACATACTGAAGCATTAAAGATGACATGACAGTTTGTCTAGGACACAAGTGGGTATGAAGTTGATAACTGTTGATGTTGAGTGATGTATAAATGAGTGCTCTGTATGGAATTCTGGTTTTGTCTAGATGTTTCATGATAGTTTTTTAAAGACAGTCTAACAACAATAGTGATAGATACCCATCTCTTCTGCTTAAAAATGTTTGGCTTTCCTTAACCATTAAATACACGGAGAGTGATATCTGAATCACTAAACTATTTCATACTCTAGGCTCAGAAATGGTTAAAATGGTGAATTCTGTATTTAAAACATTACATGGAAAAATGAAAATATAAAATGTTATTTTATCAAAAAGGATGAAGAAAAGTCATTTACATGAGACAAAGTACATGTGAATTTAAAGGTTATTTCCATATAATATTAAGTTATTTTTAAACTTCATTTAACCTTTAATATGTTAAAGGATCCCTACACTGAATTCTACACAGTTTATATTCTCAGCTTATCTAGATAAAAATGGCCCATAACTATTCCCTGGATGATCAGATTTCTCCAGGGTGCTCACTGCCTGTGGTCTGAAGAGAATCATGTTGCTTTCTGAATTTGCATTATTTAAAATATATGTCCTTTCTAAAAGGCCTAATTTACACATTTTATGCCTTTAAGACTGGATAAGTTGAATGTTTGTACAAACTGTTTATAATATAAAATGTAATTTTTACAAGTTCACACTGAAATTGTAGCTCAAAATTATTTAGGGAAATGATTAAAATAGAATGGTTGTTACCAGGGCCTTCCTTCAGTGAGAGAGAAATGGGAAGTGGTTGGCTGATGAGTTATGTAATTTCAGTTCTGCAAGATGAAAAAGTTCTGGAGATCTGTTGTACAATATGAATATACTTAGCACTACTATAGGCTCAGAAATGGTTAAAATGGTGAATTCTATGTTATTTTTTTAAACCACAATTTAAAAAATTACCTGGAAAAATGAAAATATAAAATGTTATTTTATCAAAAAGGATGGAGAAAAAAGTCATTCACATGAGACAAAGTACATGCAATACTTTATTTTAGACATGCAAGAAAAGCTCTTTCAGAATCTGCTAATTTAAAGCAAGCAGCTGTATACAGATACCCTCCCCTCAAAAAAAAGCGCAACATTTTGTTACAGCTCAGCACACAGCATCCAAAACAAACAGGCATGAGACAATGCATATTTATGCAACATTAAAATCAGATGAACAACATGTAGGGTGGGAGGATGGAAAAAATGGAAATGAAAGACCAATGTTTTGTGATGCTTCAGATGGTAATGGGGATAGTTGATCTATATACAGCTGCCTAATACTACGTTTCCTAAAACATTTTCATAGATCTTTCAGTGAGAAACTGGTTTGGGTATTTTTTGGCATATTTACTTTTTGTCTTTTGAGACAAGGACTCCCTCAGTAGCATAGTAATTCATCTCCTGCCTCAGCCTCCCAAGTGCTAGGATGACAGTCATGCCCTACCATGCCTCTGAAGTTATTGTTTAAAGACAATTTACTTAAGCTCTAAATTCCCTAAATATAAACAATGAGTTATCTGGTACTTTATATAATAAAATATGCTAAATGTTTTTAAAAGCATACTTATATAAAATTAATATTAAAAGCTTTTAGTATTTCAAAATATACAACCATAGTTAACACAGCACTGAGTGTTTAGAAGGCTTAATATATTAATTAGGAAGCCATTAACTAATAAATAAAAATGTTTGGATACTGAAAATGAATATCAAAATTGTCTTATTATGTAAATAGGCTCAGTATTACTACTACAAACGAGTTGTTACGGAGCAACAGACGTTTCAGGAGACGCTGTGACAGCTTTGTGACGGTCAAAGGGACTGTTTGACACCGCGTACATGTGGCTCAATCAATATTGGCACTACAAAATTTCTTGAAAAGTCAATGTTTGAACCTTAGGTCTTCTATAATTATAAATGATTTTTCTTTCTTATATTGCTTCAACATATACTTTTATGTGATACAGTTGAACATACTAGCTCATATAGACTGTAAGATAATCTTAGTGTTAAATAAAGCTTGGTTTTCTTCAACACACAATGGACTAAATACTGTGGCGCTGCTAACTTTGCCTGAGTTCGTAACTATTTTCTTTGGTAAACATTTGTGATTGCCCAGCCTTTCTGTTATACTCTCATAAGATTAATCACAGATGGTTTACTAACAATAACTTGTATGTGTTTAGGATATTAATCAAAATATTCACAAGTCATTTTTATCAAGAAGAAAACAGTAGTAGACAGAAATAAACTATATATCAATATCATATACAGAATGAAAATAGAATTAGGAATGTGCACAGAAAAATACAATCATAAAGGTACTAGCTCTAAGATGCTTTTTATCTTTTCACAGGAGAATTAGTCACCAAGCTGAGGACATTTTCTTTCATAAGTATATCAGTTCTCTATTTCCTCTGTGAAATTCTGCATAGTCGATGAGCAGTCACTTAGTACACAGGGACATTAAAATATTCATGGCGTGGCTACAAAAGAAATGCATATATTCTTACACACAGTATACAAGCTGATGGAGACACAATCCAATTTTTAGATTGTTTAGTTTACAGTCAAGTTATCTAAAGCATCAGGTTTGCTTTTGTTCTTTGGTTTTTGGCTGAACATTTACATTCTTAAAAAAATGCCCAGTTCAGATTTATCTTTTTCAAGTTCATGGTATGTAACAGTAAACAAGATGACCTACATTCTACAGAATCCTAAAGCACTGGATTTACTACCAAGCTGAAAAGATTGCCAGTTTCTTCAGTCAATCTATTAGCGGCAAGTTCAGTTACAGTACTGCCCTTTTCACCTGTGTGTTACATTCATTCGGGTCCTATCACAGTAAGGAGAGACTCCAGAGAAAAAGCTCCCCCAACAACAAGTTAAAAATAGTCACTATATGGTATTATTAAGTGCCTAGGAAAGCTTTTAATTGTTGACTTAGCTAAAACAAATGTGACTTTGAGGCTAAAGATTAGTTTTTTTTAAGTCCTCAAAATTATTCTAAGGAATTCCCCAAGTTTGTTAAATGTCTATGCCTACAAATACATCTAACATGTTAGATGTTCTCACATCAAAAAGTGACAAAATAACCCGAGGTAGGGTCTTGAGTGGACCTTCCAGCATCCCAGATGATTTTAAAGTTGGAACTCTAAAGTATTAGGCTATAAAAGCTGCCCCTTTCCCATTTAGAATAGTGTAATGATAAGCAAGTAAAGTAATATTAGTTATAAATGCCTAATGCTTCATTTCCATATAGAAGTGTTCATTCTCACAGGAAAAGTTTAATTCTGTATTAACAGCGTTACTGATTTACTGTACTTAGAAATTCTTTGTCAGTGACTCTCAGCAGTAAATCAATAATCCCAATTATGGGTTATTATAGGGGAAAATTTCCTACAAAGCATCAATTTAATGAAATAATAGGGGCTATCCATTGGGATTTAAATGCAATTAACTTTCCAAATAATGCCAAAATACAAATAATAAACTTGACAAGATTAAAATTAAAACTGAATTCATATAGCCTACTACATTTTGATGCATGTCTGTACTCCAGCTCGTATTCTAGTACGCTTTCTTATACCCAATGATACTCTTGCTGTGAAACATATTCTCTGTTTTCTGGAGAGAGAACAAGAAAAGTTTAAGTCTCAAATAACCTTATATTTCAATACCAGTTGCCTTTATGTTATAGTTTTTTAACTTTTTGATTTCTCAACTTGATATCATGTCATCTGAAAACCAACCATGAAAAAGTTTATGCCCATTGAAGGAGAAAGGTGGTTTTCCAACAGGGCTGAATATAATAAATTAAAATAAAATAATAAAATAAAAAATATAATAAAATACAGTCATCCCTTCCCGGAGAAGACTTACAAGTACAAAAATTTTATATGAACAATTTTGAAATGTGGCCACCCCAGGCATTGCCATCACTTTTTAACTAACAGGTATTTTTACTAACCTATGGAAAGCAAAATGGTTGATAATAAGCCAAACTATTCTTTAATGCCAAGGGTCCATATTACTATACTGAAACAATAAATTAGTACCCATCAATTTTCAAGAATATTTTCCATAGAAAGAAACCCCTCTTCATTGGAAAAGCATCCTTCAAAAAATAGCCTCTAAAATGCACAAAAATAAATGGTGGTGTGTGTGTGTGTATATTTTAACCACTTTTAGGATACTAGGACATGTCTGGTTCAGACTGTTAACACATGAAGAAGTTCTGCTAGAGATAAATGCCTTAGTGACTACTTAACATTTAAAGCTGTGTTTTTTTTTTTTTTTTTTTTTTGGTTTTTTTTTTCAAGTTTTGGTTTTTTGAGACAGGGTTTCTCTGTGTAGCTTTGCGCCTTGGTAGCCCAGGCTGGCCTCGAACTCACAGAGATCCACCTGGCTCTGCCTCCCGAGTGCTGGGATTAAAGGCGTGCGCCACCACCGCCCGGC